TCAGTTTTTTACCATCAGATGATGTTAACTAGCTTTATTTTGTTAAGCTAGTTTCTTACTATTACTAGTTTGTGGGTTGTTTTTATCATGTCAGGGTGTTGAATTTTGTCAGATGTGTTTTCAGCGTCAATTGAGATGATTAGGTGTTTTTCTTCATTCTCTTGATGTATGGTGTATTTTATTGATTGAGTCTCATGTGTTGAACCATCCTTGCATTCCAGGAACAAATCCTACTTGATTATGGCCTGTGATCCTTTTAATATGCTGTTGAATTCAGTTTGCTAGTTTTTGTTGAGGTATTTTTTTGTATCAGTTGGTATTAGCACAGGGCTAGCCTCATACAATGAGTTAAGTCTTTCATCTTCTTTAATTGTTTTTAGAATAGTTTGAAAAGTATTAGTGTTAATTCTTCTTTAAATGTTTGGTAGAATTTACCAATAAAGTTAACTGGTCCTTATGTGACTTAATTTTTAATACCACATGATTTTATATGATAGCTTGCTAGAGGAAGCAAAGAAAAAAGACCAAAGTTAGTTGTACTTTTGTTTTTAAAATCCCACATATAAATCTCTAAGTGGTTCACATTGTGCTTTTTTAAAAACTCTTAATTGCTTTTGAAATTGGAATATGAAATACTAGGTTTTGCCATTTAAAAAATATTGCCAATCCTTTGAAACTCATAGTGTTTAATTTAAACAATATTATATAGCAAAAAAGAGCAGAAAGTTATATTGTTGCTCTTCATTCTTCCCCTTTCTCACTGTGTGACCCTGGAAAGAAGTCCATAGGGCCAATGTAGCTATCATATTTGACACCTAGAATAGATTATTTTTAAACCCCCCGCCCCCGAGACAAGATTATGTATAATAATAATCCTGATGTTGAATAATGATGCCTGGCCAGTATGGGTCAGTGGTTGAGTGTTGACCCATGCACCAAGAGGTCGCTGGTTGGATTCTTGGTCAGGGCAAATGCCCAGGTTGTCGACCCAATCCCCAGTGGGGGCATGCTGGAGGTCACCAATCAATGTTCTCTCTCTCTCCGACATTTGTATCTCTCTCCCTTTCCCTTCCTCGCTCTCTAAAATCAATAAAGAAAAAATTATTTTAAAAAATAATGATGATGAGAAAAAATGCAGATAGTGTTTTTTAACTTAATGTACATAATCATACCAGGAAAAAAAAATTTATAAATACTATAACACCAAAAGGAAAAAGTAAGACAATAATAATTTTAGGTACATTAATATAGTTTTTGAAAAAAAGGAGGGTAAAAAACATTATCTACCTACATACTGGGTCTGTTAAGTAATGATAACATTATAGTTTGCGTTTGATTCTTAACCTAAGCATATTTACTAATGACTTCATCATATTTGACCTTTGCACATTCAACTTAAAATAGTATACTGGGCCCGGCCAGTGTGGCTCAGTAGGTGAGCGCGGACCCATGTACCAAGAGGTCACCAGTTGGATTCCCAGTCAGAGCACATCCCCAGGTTGTGGGCCAGATCCCCAGTGTGGGGGTAATGCAGGGGGCGGCTAGTCAGTGTTCTCTCTAATCAATGTTTTTATCTCTCCCTCTCCCTTCCTCTCTCTCTCAAAATCAATAAAGAAAAAAAAATTTGTAATAGTATATCGGATTTATCAATCTATCTTGACTCATAGTTGATGAAAATACTTATTATAAATTTGGAAAAATTTTTTCACATGAAGTCTAGAAGAGATTCATAAAAAAATCACATTTTACAATAAAGTCCAGAAATTGCAATACTGTCTTTGTTTCTTTGAAAACTATTCTAGTGGCTGCCAATATCTCCACTGTATAAAAAAATAAATACAAACACAAACATATACAAATTTAAGTACAAAAAAAATGGTAATGTAGAATGATAGATTTGAACTAATTCAGGTTTTATTTCAGCAGTCTCTCTGCTACTTCTGTTTAAATGCAAGAATATTTAGTTACCCAGACAGAGGTTGGAGGGGCTGAGCATCCAAAGAAAGCTGAAATGATTCTGAGCTACTGGGAATTTACTTTTGAAATGAGCGTGTGTGGCTGATTTCACCTTTGACCAGGACTGGCTATGTAACTGGGAGTCCTCCGAATTAACTCCAGTGTAGAATACAAAGTTTATTAAAGATTAAAGAATGACAATATGTTAATTTGTAACATATATTGTTAAAATTCAACAGTAACCTCAGCAATTGTTTAGAACTTACACCAAAGAAAGATTTTTGGTTTTGCAGTATTTTATCACTGACATTGCAGTATTGCCAATGCCTAGTGGTAATAAAAAGTCTTTCAGCTGTTTGTGTCATTGATTCAAATTCTATACAGAGAGTGTACCCCCTGATTGCTTGCACCCAGGGAAGAGCTCTCCCATCCTCCTGCTGTTGGAATGCCACTAGCACCAAGTATATTATTGAAAAAGAAAGCTGCAGACCGTCATGTGTAATGTGGCTTTCATTTTGTTGTTATTAAAGAAATAATGTTTGTATAAACATCGGAAAAAGTCTATGGGTACCCGTCAGACTATAAATAATACTAGGAAAAAAAGATTGTACTTAGAAAGGATTTGGTGTGTATGTGTGTGGGGAGGGGTACTGTCACTTTCTGTTAGACTTGTATGAATATGTTTGAAGATAACTATGGCAACATCTTACATCAAAATAGTACATAGTGGAATCATCAAAGGGCATTGAATTGACTATGGAAATGGGAGCAGGAAGCTATAACTGTTATTTGAGTTACTTCTGTTGTTTGAATTATTACAAGAATGTATTGATAAAATTAAATAACTAAAGTTAAAGAATAAAAAACTTAAATTGGAGAGGACAAAAAGTAGTGTGATGCCTTCCAGATTCTTTGCTTATGATTTTGTATAATAATATTGACTTTTTATTAAGCACCACAGGCACTGAGCTAGAAACTTGACATGTATTACCTCTGGTTTTCACAAATACTATTTTTGAATATAAAGTATTGTTTACCTCATTTTAAAGTTAAAGAAACTTTAACTTGTTCAGGATCATACAGTGAACCAGAATTTGAAGCAAGATTTATATGCCTCCCAAGTCTTCATTTTTCTCCACTGAGCTGCACTGGATAATGTGCTGCCTGGTAGGAAGTGGAACCAAGCTTGTGGTCCGAATCACGGGGTCAGCCAAGTCCATGATGGTGTTTTGATTAGAAAGAAAATAATAATCTTTTAAACAACCTCTGAGCTTGGATGTATTTATTAAATATTCATTTACAGCTAAAGCAAGATACCATTTGAGGAAGTTTATTTGCATTTTTCTTTTTTTAATCTGATAGCTTTTCTTTTAGAATATAAGAGTTTGTGCAAAAGTTCCATGAAAAAAGTTTAGTGAACTCTTCATATTTTATTCATCTTTTGGAGAATGACAGTCCATGAGGCTAAAAAGTTAAAAAGAAATGTTTTAAATTTTGCTTAACCTGCTTCCCAAATTTATTGGGTCTGCAAAACCCTCCTTACCCTCTCTTCTCACCACTGTAATGCCTATTTAGATTCCAAAGATCTGTGGGACATATTTTAGGGGGATATTTTACTGTAACTCAGACTTCAGGCCCTCAACCTCTTTTCACTTGAAAAGCCTCTGTACCAAGGAGCTTCACATAGGATTGGCAGAAAAAGCTCTTGCAATAAATAGCCATTTTCATTTGGTGTAGTGAAAGAGACTTTAGGTGCTTATGTAAAACTTCCTCTGGAAAGATCAGATTTGCACTTTGTGATAGAAAAGGCATAGGTGTTAGAGAGACTTAAGTTTTAGTGAACTCTGTACAACTTTATAGCTGAGCGACCATGGAGAAGTAAATTAAATGTCCTTAAGCCTTTATTTCTTCATCTGTAAAATGAGAATACTATAATCTTATTAGAAGGTTTTTTAGAAGTAGATAGAGACACAAAACAACTAGCAGAAATATGCATTTTATAAATACTTAGAGCATGATGGCTCATCCAGCTGTTCTTCCTGCTTCTCATCCTGTCCCAGATAGGAGAGAAAATAGAGTAGCAAGGACATACGGGCCACATGGAAACCCAGTTTTATCTTTTTCCTAGTAACTATCTTCCAGCAATATGTAAGTACACCAGGTGTCTTGTTTACATTAGAGTGCTGGAATTAGTAATAACATTGGTACTTTGTAGGTTTTTATGGTTTACATCTAGCACATTTTGCTTGTTTGTTGAATATGACATAACTTGTATCAAAACTTCTAAAGATGATTGTAGAATATGTGAGTCAGAGATACAAAGTTATTTTTCATACACTCTTTTTCTCTTTAGCTCATTGTTGTACATATTTAAAGATAATTGAAATTATACTAAACTCATGTCTATTTTACTTATACATTGTTTCATTTTTATTGTTGTGGTACTCAAAAGAAAACAATTTTTTATCTTCATAATAGAAATATTAAGGAGCATCTCCAGAAGAACGTAGATATTTGACAATAGACGCTTTTGGTGTCTGTTTGCTTTAAGAAATGGAACTGAACCAGAAGAGATTTCTTGAGTTCTCTTCCAGTGACTAATAATGTATGATTCTTTTTAATGCATCTAAAAAATACTTTATGTAAGATATGCATTTTAATTTCTTATAATAATCACTTTTGGCATATATTCTTTAAATGATTTTAAAATTATATTCAGTTAAATGGAATTTGAGGAGAAATAGAGGTATGAAAATTTACTTGAATTGTGTTTGATTTTGTCATTTAACAATACTAGACATTTTTGAAATTTTAGAAATGTGAATACCCAAGTTCAGTCATAGTAAGCAGAACCTTAGCCTAAGATGTTTCTAATATGTCATGTTTTTATTGAACATTAAAACTATAATGTAATTTTATCATTGTGATTTGCAAGCTGATTGCTACAGTAACTAAATATCAAGTGTTTAAGTTGTTTGTTTCTTCTGCATAGAAAAGTAATTGTCGGGAAAATGTCACATGACTTTCTAATTTTCTTTTCTCAGATGTATAATGACCATTTAATAGCTAGTGAAAACCAGCATACAATCCAGTGGGAAGAGTTCATGAAAGAACAACACAACAAACAGGCTGAAGTGGACGAAGAGCACAGAAAAGCTGTGGAGAGGCTTAAAGAACAATATGCTGAGATGGAGAAGGACCTAGCAAAATTTTCAACCTTTTAAGAACTTGAACCACAACAATGACAAACTAATGAGAAAAAATTGACTTCACCCAAAGAATTAACTATTCCCACCAAACCATTTAGCCTCTGCTTCAAGCTTAGCAATATATTCAGTGGCACTAATATCAGAAGAAAGAAACTTCTGCTGGAGTCTTTTTTATTAATATTTTTTTCTTTTTTTAGAGAGAGAGGAAGGGACAAGGGAGAGAGAGAGAGAGAAATATTGATCCGCTGCCTCCTACACGCCCTTTACTGGGGATCGAGCCTGCACCCTGGGCACATGCCCTGACCAGGAATGGAACCAGTGACCTCTTGGTGTATGGGACAACACTGAGCCACACTGGCTGGGTGACTGGAGTCTTACTGAAATGTTTAGTAGAAGAAGAGTGCTATATCTTTCCAGTTTAAGTACCTATATATGATTATTTGAATGGGCAAGAGTAGGCGGTAAAATGGGATAAATTTACTTTTTGTTCATCAGAATTGGTTTTCCTTTTTATTGATTATCTCAGGGAATATAAGTATATACTTCTTAGAAAAATAATTTAATACATTCTTATACAGGGATAATATTAGTTTATTATTGTGGCTTTCAAAGCAGATATAATAGCTGCCTCTTTTAGCCTCCTTGGCTATTGGAAGAATGTGTAAAGTATTATTCCATAAGTAATGTAGACAGAAACAGCCGTTCTTGGAACAGAGAGCACACTTCAAAGAGATGGGAGTATAACAGTCTCTACTATGACAAAGATGGCCATGTTGGTCTTTGAACTGCGTGAAAGGTTACAGATTTTGCAGGGCAGCATAATGCCATGTTTTGCTGATGACAAGATACACTTGTTAAGTTTTGTCGCCTTCCAGCACTTAATATTTTCAGCTTTTAAAACATGCTTAGAAGGAAAAGCTTACCAAAAATATAGTTGACTTTTAGCCTTTTCAAGAACCATAATCTTGCCCATAGTATTTACCTCATTTTTGTGCCTGTTTTGCTGTGGGTGAGCTTTGTAAGATAAGTAATGTTCATATATGTTTCAACTATTTAATGAGTAATCAGCAAAATCTGCAGAGTCCCTCTGGGACCATATAAAGATTCTGGTTCTGAATATATCAGAAGTGTATTTGCCCACATGGCAAATAATCCATGTTAAATGTAAATCCTTTTTAATGTTTAACGTCTGTTCTCATAAGCAGGTGTATTAGGATGAAATATGTACCAACTCTGTCATCACTGTGATCTTTAAAAATCTGCATTTGGCGGTCTAATAATTGAGGAACAAAGTTGATTTTTTTATTTGCCATAAATGAAGCAAAATTAAATGCAATATCTCAAGAGATTTATGGCAAATTAATTTGAGGTATGGATAAATCTTTCAAATATTTTTTATTGCTCTTCAATAAAGAAAGGCACAAGAAAGAAAATACCCAACTCTCATGTATCTCAGCCTTGCTAGTACAGAAAGTGACAATGCTTGCTTGTGTAAATTTATGGCTTACTGTCAAAGCTGCATTCTTGGCTGCATGTTGAAAATGTGATTAAAGTTAATAGAGGAGATGAAATAAGTATTTGAGATTTCTTTCAATAACACTGAACTTCTGCCAACTTTCTCTGTCCGCTACTGTAGGCTTGACAGGTTCATCAATCATCCTCTGGTACCTGGACTAAAAAGAGCACTTGCTGACACTAAGGCATGTTGGAATTTTCTTAATTCTCTTTCAGTGGGTGGAAAAAAAACACATACTTCCAAAAATATCCCACACATGAAAAGTGAGGGGAGCCTTAAATGAAAATTCCCTTTGTGCTGTAGGCAGTTTTTGGACTGCTGTTAATTGCCAGCACACCATTGAACAGATGCTGTAACCAAGAAATCGGGACTGTGTGTGAGCAGGAATGTGCTCTTGACTGTGGCTGTTCGACTGGGGCAACAAGGATTCTGATATTATTTGTCCATCTCATAGGAATACTAAATACTTTACCACATGAGCTTGTATGTATTATGTAAGGATCTCAGGGACTTCTTAAACCAAAAAGAATTATTGGGCCTTTTGACCCTTAAACATTTAAGATACTAATTTCTTTCTTTAGCTATTCAGTATAACTTCTAAAAGAAATGACTGGTTTGCCTTCCTTTTAATCTTTTAGTAGTGAACACTTTCACCTATATTTCCCAGTTTCCAAATCACTTTCGATATGTTTTGTATATGTGTGTGTGTATACACACATATATATGTAAACTTTTTATATAGTAATTCCATAATTTACATTTTTGCTCTTGGGCTCTGTGTAGCTCACAAGATTATCTTGTTTGAATAATGTTTAAGTGCTATAGAAGTATTTATTTTTAAGTTCTAAGTGTTTTCTATTTTTCATGATTCTTTTTTGACTTACATACATGTGGTTTTTGTTTCATTTCCTAACATGTAGATTTTTAAATTCTGTTCTCATTACTGATTGCTGTTTTAATTGGATTGTGCTCAGAGAATAGGTCCATAAGAAATTATATGGTGAAATTCATTGAGATTTTTCTTATCACCTAAAATAATAGTTTTGTAAATGTTCCTTTTGTGCTTGAAAGTCTGCATATTTTCCAGTGTGTCCATCTCATAGAGATACTAATTATTAATTGTGTTGTTCAAATTGGCTCCATTTTACTCTTGTTTTTCCTTCTACTTAATCTCTCAGATTCTAAGATGTGTTGTAATTTTTTATTTTTTAATTTCTCCCTATAATTCTGTCTATGTTTGTTTTGTATATTTTGAAGCTTAGAATTATCTTCCAAGTTTAGAATTGTCTTATATTTATAGTCATGACCTCTATTTCTAATAATGTTTTTATTTCATTTTACATTGCTTTAAAAGCGATGCTTTCAAATATATATAGGCCATACCAGCTGGTTAGATTTATATGGTAAATGTTTCTTTATCCTTCTGTTGGACCTTTCTGTTATGTTTTAGATGCGCCTCTTAAAAACTGTAGTTTTCTTTTCTTTCCATCGGATTATCTTTTACTGAGAGTTTCATTAATCTACATTTATTGAACTTACTAATATATTAGGGTTTATGTGTCCCATCTTATTGTGATTTTTGTCCCACTTTTTCTGTTACCTTACTGCCCTTGTAAGTTGTGTTTTTTTTGCCTTCTTTAAGATTGATTAAGTTGTGTATTGTTTTTTCTTTTGCTTTTTTCCTACTAGTTTAGAAGGTAAAAAACTCAATTTTTATCTTTTAGTGCTTAGCAAAATTTAATTTACATAGTTAGCATAAAAACTTCACTCTCTTTCTAAAAAAGAGACTTTTGAACAAAATCTGATTTCCCCCTCAACTTATAAATTAGTGTCTAGAATTTATTTTCTCTTAGTTTAACTCCAGAAATAATTATGAAGTCAGTACTTGTTTAGATTTACCTACAAGTTTACCATTTTATTAGCCTTGAGAGTTAACTGGGTGGATTGACAGTTTCTTGTTTTTCTCCAGTATGTACGATTTTCCCACTGTCAGATTGCTGCCATTGTTGCTTCTGAAATGACAATTGTCAGTGTGATCAGAGAAGGTACTCCTTTGTAGCTTATCTGTCTTTTCTCTCAGGTTATGTTTAAGATTTTTATCTCCAGTGGTCTACAATCAAATGTCATTATACTACCGTGTGTCCAGCTATGGATTCTATTTATAATCCTGTTCAGATTCATTGAGCTTCTTGAATCTGAGAATTAGTATCTTTCATAAATTCCAAAAATTCTCAATTTTTATCTCTTTGAATAGTGTACTTCCCCCATTCTATCTACTCTCTCCTTTAGGGAATCAAATTAGATGTATGTTTTACCGCCTCACTCTGTTCTCCAGATCTCTGATTCATATTTTCTCTCTTTGTCTGTGTGTGCAATTCTGACCATCTATGTAAATTGTTTAGTTCACTAATTCTGTCTCTAACCTATTTAACCTATCAAATTTTTAATTACGGTTATATATTTTTTTTATTTCCAGAATTATTGTTTGGTTCTCTCTCAAACTCTCCTGGTCATTTGGGATAGTTCCATTATTCCCTCTTATTCTTTTCTTTAAACGTATTAAATGTACTTTTTTTGTGGCTCTGACTCTATAGTTTGTTGTTCGCTGTTTTTTTCTGAAATGAGGTCATGTTTGTTTTCTGATGTGATCAGTGATTTTGATTGTGAGTTGATATTCCTCTTAACTTGATTTTGGGGGAATTTTTGTTCAAAGTATGTTTCTACAGAGATTTCTTTTTCTAGCACCACTGGTGGTTTCTTGTGGCACTGCTAACCCTGGACCCCTTCAAAGTCGGTGTTCAGCTCGGGTTTCCTGCCTCTCCCTGCCCTGTTCTTGAGTACATGCATGCTCACACTCACAAGTAGTGTGAATTTCACCCTTAATGTATGTGAGTGTGCATTCCTAGAAGAGACTGTTTTCCCCTTCACAGCTCTACTTCAAGAAGAGAAACTTGAGGTGTTTTCCTAGTTCACTCACTGAAAGTGGTGTCCAATGGGGAACTGAATTGTGTCCCTCAAAATTTACATGTCAAAGCCCTAACCCCAGTGTGCCTACATTTGGATATAGGGCCTGTAAGGAGGTAATTAAGGTTAAATGAGGTCTGGGGCCCTGATCTGATAGCACTAGTGTTCTTATAAGACAAGGAAGAGACAACGGAGCACACTGTACATACACTCAGGGAAAAGGTCACATGGCACAGCAAAAAGGTGGCCAAGAAAAGAAGCCTCACTAGAAATGGACTTTTTTGACACCTTGATCTTGGGACTTCTTCCTTCCAGAACTGTGACAAAATAAATATTTTTTGTTTATGCACTGCCATCTGTGGTATTTTACTATGATAGCCAGAGCAGACTAATACAGCCTCAGACCATGATTCTTCTCCCCTATAGGCATGGCTCCTTAAAACTGGGGTCCTTCTGGCTGCAGGGAGGGAGAGGGGTCTTTAGAACAATTACATGTTCCAGAGTTAAATTACCCTATAGAATTTCACTTTTTTCCTGGTCTGTCTTTATTTGGTTTTAATTTTTATCCTAGCTTTTTGGTGTTCAGTAGCTAGTGACATTTCTCTGTATAGAAATGGCATGTTAGACAAGTATATGTTGATTTTATTAAAATGTCCCCCAAAGAATATGTCCATATTCTATTATAAAAGATTATACCTTTTCTTTCAAATATTGTGTCAGATAGTTTCTATTTGATTGTTTCTTTTCTTTTCTTTTTTTTTTTATCCTCACCCGAGGACGTTTTTCGAT